AATGTAATAAAAGATTTATTTTCAAATAAATGCTGTTCTTTTGAACTTTTGTCATCAAATAATCCTTAAAAATCCACAAAATTAAGCAACACAATTGTTTTCAACATTTATAATAAATGCTCCTTGAGCAGCAAATCAGCATATTAGAAGGATATCTGAAGGATCATGTGACACTATAGACTGGAGTAATGATGCTGAAAATTTAGCTTTGCCATCACAGGAGTAAATTACATTTTAAAGAGATATTAAATTAGAAAAGTTATTTTAAATTGTTATAAATGTTTTACAATATTGCTGTTTTTACTGTATCTTGCTCAAATAAGAGAAACCTTGGTGAGTATAAGAGACACTTAAAAAAAAAAAAAAAAAAAGATTCAGACCCCATGCATGTCTGTAGTAGTAGTGTCCACTCACCAATTACAATACAATACAGAATAATTAATGACATTTAAATCGGTACCGCTAGGCATGCGAAGAGATGACCAGATGTCCTGAGCACCCCAGTCAGGGCTAATTGGAGGACAGTTAATAACTGGATAGGCAGTGTTTCCTGACATCACGGGACCCAAGCCATTACTTCTGCCTGCCACTGCTACAAAGATGGTGGGAACTCCATCACCTGAGGAGAAAAACATTGATCAATTAAATTAGTTATTATATTAAGCAATAACCTCACTATTACTAAAGTGTTCTGGATTAAAATATTGGGTTTAAAACATGTTATCTACTGAAAACAATTTCAAATAGTTTTAAATATACATTTTACATCATTTTGGCAATGAAAAAAGCCATGAGAAAAAAAGTCTGCAGAAAGGGCATGCTTGTTCTGTTCTTAATAGATCAGATGACAATGTTGTGTTCGGCCATACCCTCATATTCAGCTTTGATGCGGAGTGTCTCATCAGGGCCTTTATGGGCAGAGGTGACTCTAAGGTGGCAGGGAATGCCATATGAACCACAAGCCTTTCGGATCTTCTCACAGTGAGCCACATCTGAGGTAGAGCCCATCAGAACTACTACTCTTCCTCTCGCCTGTGACTCCAGGAGCAGCTAGATGCACACACAGAATCAGATTCCCATTAGTCACTAATGCTTCAGTTAGAATACTCAAAACATTATCTCCCGGTCATTTAGATGTTGTGAAAGACTTTTATTGGAGGAAGAGGGAAGTCAAGAGGGATGACAGCCTGAACTAGGGGAACTAACTAAATAGCCAAAGGTCACAGAGCTCATTGTTAGCGTTTAGCTTCTTGATGCAGTAAAAGAAATTGAGCGTAATTGATTGAGCGTAACAAATTATTAAAAGAAAACGATTAGGGTTGGACTTGGTTCAAAGCATTGGTTGTTGATTGGATTTTCAGATGTGGGCATTGCACTTAAAAATTGAGGCCGATGAATGCAAGCTTGAGGGGGTGGGGAAGGACTAAATGGACTATATGATTGGAGAAATCCAGCATGTCACCAGAGAGAATTATGGCATTTTTACCCTAGATCCAGTTATATTTTGATTTAAAGATTACAAGGTAAACAAACACATCAAAAACCTTTTTTTTTTTTTTTTTTTTTTAAATAATAGTACCTTGACTCGCTCTGCGACCCACTCAAAGTTCCTCTTCACCATCTGCATGGCCTCAGGAGTCACTTCTTTCAGGTCACGGTAAACCTACACAGAGAACAGTGTTTATCTGACAGTCATACTTATATAGGTCTTGCCACAGGTTAGTTAGTTCTTTCAGGAAAGATCATGATCATCATAGCAGAAGGACATTTGCTTCACTGGATTAATACTAAACTCTTAGTGGCTTCTAGTTTTACTCTAATATAATACTCTGGTAAAGAAGTAGCATAAATTAATTTCATGCCTGAGGTACAGTTTTTAAACACATCATGATGCTTGGCTATTTACCTGTTTGTCTTTCTGCTGGCTGCGATCCCCAGCTGGCCAGAGCCTCCATGAGTCGTTGTCAATCACATCAGCCAGCACAATCTCTTTAGTGGTCACATTTACACCGAACTCTATCTAAAACGACAGATTATGGGCATTAAACCTCTACTGCAAGTAGCAATTGCCACAATAATAAGGAGCCTGTTCAAACCAAGGACAATTCTATAAAGATAGCTACAACAATAACTATGTCAGCATCCACACCAACGGATGATAATGTTCTGTTTATTATAAGCATGCACTGCAATTCTGTCAGGACCACCATCGTCAAATACGATTGACAATTAGCATATAGTGTGGCTTGGCGGTATGGTTGTTCTGGGCAAGAACTCCCTGCGCATCTATGCAGCCTAGCATGGATAAGAGCAGCAATAACCCCCCCTTAGGGTAAACAGAACAGAACCAACATGAATGTATTGCAGATATAATGAATTCAAGATTTTAAGTACAACAGAATTCGATTTATTCTGATTCAAGGGGAATCAGAAGGCCATACTGACTGATGAGAGGAGGAGCTGGGGATGGAGGGTCATTAGCTCCTGATTGCTGCTGATAATACTGAAGCTTATATATGAATACAGTGATAGGCGTCGTATTCCTATAGGTAGACGTGGGTCAACTGAGAGTCAGCTGATGTGAGCTTGACTAACGTGACCAACCAGAACTAACGCTAAGCTTGATTTATGGTGTCTGCTGCCTTAAACACTTAAGCTATTTAAAGTAGGATGGATTCTTATTGGCCTTTCGTTCATCAGATGGAAAAAATCATTCTAAGAGTAATTTCAACAGTATCGTTCTTCTGAGTCGTTAGAGTTGTAGTGTGGACTTCTCTACACCAGATTTCATACTTTCATATCCACCAGCGTGCAGTCCTGTGTGGCCCAAGCCTTCTCAAGGACTTCAAAAATGGCCACCGTGGTTTTGCTCATGATGTCCACCTCACAGCGACCAATAGTCAGACCTGCCAGCTCAAACCCAGTCGCCAACAACTGCTCTTCTGACCACTGAGGGTCATTATTGGCGTCATCCTGAATGAAGAATAATGGAAGTAAACGGGTGATCAATATGTGGAAAAAATTTGAAATTGCATGACATTACATTTAAATGTGATCGATTAAAAGCCTTCTTAACTTTATTTCTGATTAACAGAACCTCACCTTAAAGAACATTTCCATTTTTAGAGGAGTGAAGCGGTAGCCCTCTTTGACCCCAGGGTTGCGTTTGAGGAAGGAGCCTGTGGCTATGCGCCTGCAGACCCACTCAATGGGTATCATCTCACATCGGGAGGCCACAAACGCAGTCTCAGAATGCTGCCTGACAAATGCCGTCTTAAGCCCTGATAGAAAGTGATTCACGATTCGCATTACTGTGTGCATCCTTTTAGAAATGGCAAACGGATTGGTCTAGTACATTAACAGCATTTTCAAACAGAGTGCAGTGATATACTGACACAGACTCTGCAGAGAAGATGCATGACTGACAAAGGACGCGTGCTTTCACACTGTGAAACTGGGACAGCAGTCTTAATAGCCTAAACACAGCATGCATATTGTAATGGAGAATAATTAAAGGAAGCATGGCTGTCACGAGGCAGTCATTTCCCCACAGTAAAACCATCAAAAGCTGCACATGGTGCACAACAACTTTAATTCACTAAAATTGCTGAGGTTGTGGGAACTATTTTAAAAGTAAATTACTTCAAGAGACCTCTGGCAACTTTGAAATTGGGGGTACCACATGAAGATCTTCAACTAAATTTTTTTTAATGAATATTGTTAGTATTATATTATATTGTGATAATATTAATAAATTAACCAGGTTGCCAAATGTTGTCTGTAATTAGTTTTCATTTAATCAAGTCAACAGAAAGGAAATCTCACCAGCATCCTGTAAAAGTTTGAACACACAGCTGGTGGTCTTGTTGGCAATGGCGGCTTTTCCCTCCATCTGATCCTTCCGAACCGCATTGCCCGCTGTGATCTGGTCTTTAGACTGGACCAGAACATGACCTGGCTCACCCACAAGCTCAAAGATCTGCTTGGTCTTACCCTCGTTCAGTTTTTGACCTAGTTTCAGTTCTAAACATAAAAAACCAAGGCAACAATTCACATTAATTGATTCCAATGTATGTGACTTCAAGACAATAATCATATAATCAAGATAATTTTTGTTAAGGAGAAATGGATAAACCTTAAGAAAACTTCTTGATTTATAATGACCCAAATCATATTTTATTTAAAAAAGGGTTTGCTCTGGGAATTTTAATTTAAAGTATTTTAATTTATTTAATAATTGTTTTTTGATGGTTATACTAATGTTATTTTACAGTAATTACATAATTTTTGTAGATTAAAAAAATACATTTTTAAGAAATGGACATGTTTTAAACTAGATTAAAAAAAATCAACTTTATACAGACTTGTCATTGACTCATAGTCTGATTTATCTTGGCTGAAAATACTTATACTACCATATTTCCTCATCTAGTAGTGTTACTGATTCGTATTAATAACATTTCAGAAAACAAAAGAACTTTTATGTCTATTGCGTAATGCCATGTGGGTAAATTTGTATTCACTGCGCATGTAACTGCACAGCGGTAAAAACATGGTGAACACCAGAACTCTTCGAGCAGACGAATGATTCCAAACTTACCTGCTGTGTTCGACATTGTTGTTGAGCGTCGTTTTTCCTGCAAAAAATGATTAGAAACTTGATTATTCTGTGTCGGTGGGTTTCAGGCAAAAGTTTTAATAACTACCTGGACTTCAGAGGAAGGGTGATGTAAAGTATGGCGAAGAGGAGCGAGACTCAACTCATTTATTTTCACGTGAGCAACGCGTTACGACACTCTGGCGATTCATAAAAACCAATCAGAGTAATGCCATCCTCACCACGTGGGCACAATCTTAATCTGCATACTTTGAAAGACAAAAGAAAAGACGTATCCATTGATATTGTTTAGGAGCAAAGATTTGTTCTGATGCAAGATATCTTTGCAAACTACATTGAAGTTTGAGCGCGTTACGCAAGGTATTGAGCGCATTTTTTCTACAATTGATCTCCACGACTTTGAACATTTTATTGATTTGACTAAACATGCTTTGCTAAACTTTTTATTTTCCATTTGCACTAACTTTGGACTTCAAATCTTGTGTTTTTGTTCATTTGAGCATTTGTGTTGCCAAATCCTCTGCCTTGCCGCATGTTCCGCTGTGTGTGAGGAAACAAACACGTGGTTTGAGAGACTCCATCCAGCAAGCGTGGAAATACATGCTAGCCATCAGTACAAACCCAGCCAGCTCTATTCAGAGAGGAGGACATGGAGTTTGAGGAGTCGGGCATTGGAGAGGAATGCGGGGTGTTCGGCTGTGTGGCAGCGGGGGAATGGCCAACGCAACTGGAGGTCGCGCAGATTTTGACACTTGGACTTGTTGCTTTACAGCACAGGTAAGTGTGCTGCTGTTTATTGGCTGCTCCCTGTTTATGCGACTTGGGGTATTTTACTCTTACTAGGGAACAAAATATGAAGATAATTCCTGCTGATATTACATAATCCAGCCTATAGATGCTCCCAATCTTGCCAGGCTGTTGCATTTTAAAGGGGGTTTGGGTGGATGGGAAAACCAGCTTAGACCAGGAAATCATCTAAAACTGATATGCTTTCTTCTTCTTCTTTTAAATAAAGCATATAAAGTATCATATAATATGCAGGAATTTGCCTGTGGTTCCCAGGTTGAAAACACTGGATGAAATGAATGTCTTGTTTCACATATAATATACAAACTACAATAGTCAACAATTGAAGTGGATCAAAACCTTGCATCAAAGTTATAGCCTACATGAATTTTGAACAATACCCGTTCTTGTCTTAGGACAACTTTGATGAACTTTTTTGATCCAGTTCAAATGTTGACCACTGTAATTTAGTGCACTTTGTCATGCAGATGCATAATTTACCAAGGGGCAACTTTTGCAATTGCCTGATCTTGTTTTCTTACTGATATAATGATTTATAAATGCTGATATAGCTCAGTCAACATGACGATTTGCAATTACCTGCAGCTATGCAGTAAAATCACAGATCAATAGACTTCTATTGTCCTGCATCTCACCGATTGTTCAGATGTGATTGCATTGGATGCCATTGAACACACAGAGGTTATCTCCATGATCGGAATGTATTGATCCTCCTCTTCTTTGCATTGGAAGTCTATATTCTCCGACCAGTCTGTGCTGCTTTCTCCATCATCAGTGCTCTGATGAAACTGTTTACAAAGCAAACGATCCCCTAAACACACATAAGATACTGTTAACACTGTTACATGGGTCAAAGAACATGTTTGTTCACTGACCTTTTCTTAATATGCTACTTTTGTCAAAGAAAGTGATAATACTGATGAATTTCGTGATTAATATATTTCCAGTAATAAATATATATTAATTTATTATAATTATGTTATGCAAAGTTCAGGATTTGTTATGAAATGCTTTTCATGTATCCTTATCAGTGCGCTCTAATTCCCAATCTTGATTCTATTAGTCAAGCTGAAGTCACAAGATTGACTCACACCTATCTCTACTCATTGCTCACAACTTTGAGAATGTCTGTGAGGAGAATATAATGAAAAACCTTCGTCTGCAGCTTTCCTCTTTTTCCCTTTGGTAGCCGACACATGCTCTCCTCTTGTGTATGATGGGTCGCTGCTGTCTACATTGCAAATATATGCACACATATTGAGAAAATGCAAATGAAAGTAACATTATGTGCACATGATAATTTGCAATGAAGTATTTTGTGTAGTATAATTCAGTGGTTCTCAACTGGTGAGCCGTGACCAAACAATTGTCTGATTGGGTTTCTAACAGCAGGAAAAGAAATTGGCATAGCAAAAAAAAGAAAAAGGCTTAAAATGAGGCAAATGCTTCCCATATCCTTTGTTGTTGACATTGAAGGCTTTGTGTTCGATCAAACTGTGTCAAACACAAACCCCGTGGTACAAATTCATCTGTCACTTGGCAGAAAATGCAGAAGTGCCAACATGGACCGATTGGATCATCCTCAAATATCCCCTTATTTTCAAAAAACATGAACAAAACTTTGCCAGGTAAAATAAAATTTTACTCAGACTACATTAAATATGTGTTCAAGAAGGATAATTGTGTTTGTGGAGTGAATTATTGTCTTAAAAATCTAAAATATGTATTTTTCTTTATTTTGTTTCAATTAGTTTCCTCTTATACGATATACCAATTTGGTCGTGCTTATGGTCGTCACATGATATCTAATGCAAAACCAGTTGAGAACCACTGGTATAATTTGTTTTAATACCTGGGATCCTTCTGTAATTACGACTGTCGTCATAAATAACAGCAGAGATGGAGTCAGATGAGAGATGCTGTTCATATTCTATTGGAGGGCTGCCAGTAGGCCTTACTATTGTGGAATTCATTTCAGGTATCTCAAATTCAACATTTGACACTTCCTCTGGTCTTGTTAAAATGCCTTCAGTCTCAGTCTGGTTTTGAAAGGCTCTTGCAGAAATGGCAGGAGATCTCAATGTGGCCTCATCAATGGACGGCTGGTCATATCTAACTGCAACAATGTCATTGTTCTCATGTGGAAGTCCACCCATGGAGTGTTCCTCAAATGTTGGAGGAGTAAACATCCTAGAGTTCCTCAGTAAATGATTTGTGTCGGAAAACTCAGCGTAATTCAGTCGACTTCTAGGAGGCTTGGACAAAAGGGAATCCAACTGTTCGTAAAACCTCATGACACGGCGAGGATCTCCAATGTCGGCTTTTCCTCTCTGCAGAGAACGGTAGAGGTATTTCAGGTTTTTGTACTTAGTGCGACACTGTTTCCAGTCCCTTTCCACACCCTGCTGAAGAAGCCTGCGTGAAATCTGCACAAATATGTCTTTGTTTCTGGTTGAACCCTGTAGCTGTCGCTGAATCCCTTCTTCGGCCCAGATTTGAAGGAGTGCGGCCACCTCTTCTTCACTCCAGTTTCTGCCTGAATCATGCACTGTTATTATGTTCATCTCGTTTACTGCTGCTGCTGTTGTCGTCGCTGAAAAAGAAATGAGAGGTTTTTGAGAGATTTATGATGTTGAAACAGCATTTAGCATTTCAGTTTTTGTCAGAACTCACTTGTCTCTCTTGCCATCAGTGGATGAGTGGCGGCATTCATTATTGTTTGCATCTCTGCCAGACTTTCATCTAAAAGAAGGGCATAAAGATGGAAAACGTCAACTTCTAGATGGAGAACCTGAACTATTTTGTAGCAATTAATTAAAACAAATCTTACCATCATCAATCTTGATAACCTGTTCTTCGACAGATTCTCGCCTCATGGCCACCTGGTCCCTGTCTAGTATGTTCCTTGGTGACTCGTCCTCCTCAAATCTACCCTCAATGTTTTTGCCCTGCATTATAGCATCAAGCTCAGCGAAGAACCTTATTGGCCGGCCTTGACTCTTGCTGACTTTGTAGTCATATTTCATGTTCTTGTATTTAGTGCGGCACTGTCTCCAGTCACGCACCACGCTGTGTTGGCACTCCAGCCGATGCGCCATCTCCTGGAAAATGGCCTTGTTTCTGTGGGAACGTTGAAGCTGCTTGTGAACCTCCTTGTCGGACCAAACCGTAAGAAGAGCCCGAACCTCCTTGTCAGACCAGTGTCTACCTCCTTCCAGCCCTAGAAGTAAATTGGCTCCCACTTAACAACAGGTTTGGCGACATTAGGCAAAGGAATATTTAGTATAAACAATGTAGCTGAATGGAGCCACCAGGTGGGTTTCCACCAGGTTTTTAAATAAATTAGCTCGTGCAAGTATTAGCTAACAGGCTTTCAGATTAAAGGTTTTACAGCAGGCATTCTCAAACCATTTGCTTCCAAGGCCCCCCATTTTTCACAACTATATTTGGCCCCATGACTTTTCCAGTTTTAACCTTAACCCTTTACTGGATAAGGGTTTTAAAAAATATTTCTTACTCACAATTTCTAACCAAATAAACCCAACAAAGCTAGAAATCACACTATTAGGCTACTATATATATTTAGGTTTTTCAAGACAGCGGGAACCTGGGTTCTTCAAAGAAGTTGAGATGGATAAAAATAAGTATTAATTTATTTATTAGTTGCTTTGTCTTATTTAAAATTATTTTAAGTCATCTTGAGGATTAGAAGTTTCCTTAGGCCCCCTAGTTGTAACCACTGTCTTAATGGAAATTAAAAAGTGTTGTAGAATGTATTTTATTTTATTAATATATTATTTAAAATTAACTATATATATATATATATAAGCAAATATTCAATTCTAACCCGAGTGTTTTAGGCAAAAATATTGTAGTTTCAGGATTTTGGTTTTGTTATTGTTTGAGAATTACCTTCCTGGAGACCTGTCAGTGAAGCAGGCTCCTCTCTTCTGGCAGCAGTCGGCTCTTCATCTGCCGCGTAAGGCCTTTGGGTCTGCGGCCTGCTATCTGCAGAAGAGCGTTTGTAGACCGTCTGCGTAGGCCTCCAGTCTGGAAGAGCCATGCTCCTACTCTGGGTCTTACATTCAAGCCAGTCTCTACACACCCCAAGCTCTCTCAGACGGCTTGAGATGGCCTCATACTTGGCCCTGCTCTCTTCCTCTTCCCAGGCTTGTCTCTCCCTCCACACTGAAAGCAGAGTTTTCACTTCATCCCCTCTCCAGTGTCCAGCTGTGTCCCTCTGCCTCTTGTCCTCCCCAGTATGTCTTTGTTGGTCTGTTTCAGGCTCCATGTTTCTAAGCTTGCCTAGAAATGGCTTCTGTTTGTTCGCCTCTGCCTTTATCCTCTCTGCTCCCCCTCCCTGTTGACTTTAAGCTCAGTGTCCAAGGCAACCAGACGACTGAGCCAGTTAGGAACGGCCACGTGACCGAGTACAGCCTCATGACTGGCTTAAGCTGTGTGTGGTGGGGGAGGGCCGGGGAGGAAATGTGAGAAGTGGCTTGGCGAACGAGTTGCACTTTCTGTGTCGATCTTCCTCAAAAAGACACGTGGAAAAGGCTCAAAGGCGTTTGGTTGCACGCCTGATTTAAATGTCGTTTATGGTTATTCGGTCACATCTTTGGGATAAACTGTCTATGCTTTCCCCTCATGCTTTCAGTCTCTCTTTCTCTCTTACTCTCTCTCATTCCCCCCTTCCCCTCCCCCTCCCCTCTCTCCCCTCCCCTCTCCTTCCCCTCTTTCTCATTCTCTGGCTAACCGTTTCACATAAACCAGTTTTATCTGCTTTAGTTACACACACTGTGCAGTCATTCAATCTTAAAAACAGATTTGGCTTGAGTTTGATTTGATTTAGGAAGAATGGGTGGGACACATTCTCTCTTCAGACTAGTCTTGCAAAGACATGTTTTTTAATGGTTCACTGCATGCAATATCACTTTAACAAATACCATCAGTTTGTCACTATATCTACACTTTCTTTATATTAAAGTACATTTCCTTATTTAAAAATGTTTAGCGCCTAAATAACTAACTAGTATTTTTACAAATGTTTAAAATTATACTAGAGCTAGGCAAAAAAAAATAGATTAATAGTTGTTTTTTTTTAAATGTGGTCGATTCGAAATGATTCTCAAAAGCCACGAATCGATCTTTTTTTCCTATGTACTTCCGCAAAAATTTAACATGAAATCTGATTGACGTTAATCTTACCAGTCTTCTCCACTAGATGCCATCCTCTTTACCTAGTGCGTTGTTACAGCGGGCATCCTGTCATTCATTCAGTGCTGTACATGCAGGAGCGGCTTTCAGCTTGAAATACGTTTCGGACAGTTGAATGAACTGTCCCGATCGGGCCAGTGCTTCATGGTCATGAAAGGTTATTATTTGCACACGTTTTCAAGCCTGGCTAATTTAAGCATTAAAGCGCAAGAGAACTCGTGAGACACAGCTGCTCCAGACAACGTGTAAATAATAAAATGAATTCTCTTTCAAGTTTCCCTGTGCTTAAACCGGCTTAAACAGACAAATTCACACAGACTTATGTCAAAATGCCCGCCTTTACGAGTATACAGGTATACGGTTGGTTATGGCTTAAGTAAACAGTAGAGAAAGAAAGCGCATGTGCTAATTCCTGATGCTGTCTGAATTGTTCATCAAACAACAAAAGACAGAGAAATCACTCCCTGCTCTTCACTGAATAACATTTAGTTACTTTAATAAGGAACCTTTAATGAATATGTACAGTGAACTGAGAAATGTTAGACCTACCTGAAAAACCTGAAAAGCACAGAATATTTCATTTGTATCGTTGTTCTCTTGTGTTTTTTAAATTTTTTATTAATGACTGTTTACTTGTTTTTAAATAATCTTTGAAATTGATATTAGTAGTTTTGGCTGTGGTGTTGAAATTGGAATCGAGAATTGTTAAATTTCACTGTTATCTAAAATTTAGGGTGTCATAACCTAATTTATTACAAGGATACATGGGCCAAAAAAACAACAATTTTATTCATTTAATAGTGGAATCATTGAAATCATTTAATCAAATTGAGAATCAATCGAGAATCAAATCGAATTGAGATCTTGTGAATCGGAATCGAATCGGGACTTCTGAATTGATGCCCAGCCCTAATATTCACATGAGATGAAGACAGTCATGTTGGAAGCCTAATACAAGTGTTTTTATTTCACATGGGGTGGGACTCCTCATGGAGGCTGCCATGTTGAGATCACATGACCAGTCGCTGCCCACTTAACTTTGGTAATCTCTCTATCATCCAACACTTTCACTCGTTGATAAAATGAATCATGATAGTGAATGGGCTCCTCTTATAATGTTATTGATGTCAGTATACACTACCGGTCAAAAGTTTGAGATTGGTAAGATTTTTTTTTTATGTTTACGAAAAAGCCTTTTATGCTCTGCAAAGGATGCATTTATTTGATAAAAAATAGTTAAAACTGTATTATATATTATGGATCATTAATTTTATTTAGATTTTCAATTTTATTGTAATTTCTACTATATTGTATTTTAATATAGCCTATTGTTTTTTTTTTACCTGTGATGTTCCCAAACTGAATTTTCATCATTCTAATGTGGATTTGGTATTCAAGAAACATTATTAAACATTAGAAAAAAACATTATTTAATATTATTAATGTTGAAAACAGTTTTGCTGCTTAACATATTTGTGGAAACATTTCTCATATTCACATTTCAGGATTCTTTTGAGTAGAAAGTTCAATTGAATAGCATTTATTTAAATATAAATCTTTTGTTACATTATAAATGTAAATTATAAATTTTAATAATTTTAATGTGTCCTTGCTGTGTAAGACAGTTGCTAAATCTGCATAATTTCTTTTAGATCATTAATGTGAAAATAACTGAATGTTTTACAATACGCTTTGTTAAATAGGGGCCAGGAGAGTGCTGGAATTGTCACGAGTACTGGAGCAAACCCACCAACATACACCACCCTGAAGGTAGCGTAAAAATAACACAGCATTTCGATGTGTACAACATCAACTGATCACTTAAAACATGATTTCTTCCTCATCCATGGGCCAACACATATCAACATACAGCAGTGAATGCAAGATTAGACTTGCCTGACATAATTGCTTCTCTCTCTCTCTCTCTCTCTCTCTCTCTCTCACAGGGCATGGGCTTAGTGAATACAGCTTTTAAACCAGAGGATTTGCTGAAACTGCGCAATGTTAACCTAGGCATCGGACACACACGTTACTCCACCACGGGCATCTCAGAGCTGCAGAATTGCCAGCCTTTTGTGGTAGACACGCTGCATGGCAAGATTGCAGTGGCACACAATGGAGAACTGGTCAATGCCTCCGCGCTGCGCAAGAAGGTGGGCTTTGATTCTTAAGCGGCGGTCACACTAGACTTTGAGCACGCAAAAATTCTTAGGATACCGCAATGGCGTCACATATGACATCACATACTGTGGCGTCTTTTGTAAAAAATATTATTCGACAATTTATTAAATCCAAAATGTAAAAATGTGCAATCTACTCCACTTTACTGCAATCCTTCAGATTTAAAGTTTAGATTCTTTTAACTCCGGTCACAACATGATATTAGGGCAGTTTTTCAAACTTTGGAAAGCAGAAAAATTTGCATGAGCTTGTGTTTCCTGTCTCCCGCATTCACATGCGTATGAATGGAAGCCAATGGAACAAAAAGTGTAGTGTGTCCCTTTTGTATCCCTTTAGGTGGAATTTCAGTGGAAGGGTGGGGTTGTTATTTTTTTTTCTTTTCTATTTTTTAATACAAGGTGTTTGTGTGATGTAGGTTATGCGCCATGGTGTTGGTCTATCCACCAGCTCAGACAGTGAACTAATCACCCAGCTCCTTGCTTTGACTCCACCCATGGAGGAGCTTGACACTCCTGATTGGGTTGCTCGGTAAGTTACACAAGTCCATCCTCATCACTGCAACATCTGATTGGGTCACTGTTTGTTAAACCCTGTCTGTCTTACTAATTGCAAAATGAAGTCCTTTTCTGTAGACTTTTGTTAAAATGTATTTTTGAATGTTTGTTTGTGTTTGTCAGTATAAAGAACCTGATGACAGAGACACCTACTTCATACTCACTGCTAGTGATGTATAAAGATGTGATCTATGCTGTGAGAGACCCCTATGGAAATAGGCCTCTTTCTATTGGACGTCTAGTGCCCATATCCAAACTGCACAGCTCAGGTGTGTGCGGACCAAAAGAGTTATTCTCAGTAAAGGAAAGGGTTGGAGGTGAAGACATCTCTGTATCTGCTTTGAATTTGGGTTGCATATTATGCATTTGGGAATGTAACATGCGCCAACAATCTTCCCATACTCGGAATGAGAAGTGCTTATAAACTGGTTGTTGTTAAAGGGTTCCTTTTAAGGGCCATGAATAGTAGTATTGAAATTTTACAGTTAAACTAGTCAAATAAAATTATTGCATTTTTCTTAAATACATTTTTTTCCCCAAATCGCGCAGCTCTAGAAGACACTATAAAAGGACAACTTTATTTAAGTCTTAGTCTGTAAATAGATGTACACACTCAACTATAACAGGTAAAACATGCTACAAATGGTAATCAACTTATGAAACCAACATGAACAGATTCAAACTGCAACAGATGCAAAGGGATGATTATATATTGTCACAACTATCAGTATAGATATAATGTAATGTTATTTTGGAGTGACTAAGCTCTCATGATTAATAATTGTCCGTCAAATTATCAATTAGTATGCAAAATGTAATGGCTTAAAGGAATAGTTCACTTAAAAATGAAAATTCTGTCATCATTTACTCACCCTCAAGTTGTTTCAAACCTGTATGAATTTCTTTCTTCTGCTGAACACAAAGGAAGATATTTTGATGAATGTCCGTAACCAGACAGTTGATGGACCCCATTGACTTCCATAGTATTTTGTTTTTCCTACTGTGGAAGTCAATGGGGTCCATCAGCTGTCTGGTTACCGACATTATTCAAAATATCCTCCTTTGTGCTTTTGGTGGCCAATTATAAGTGTGTATTTATAACGTGGCATGTCACTGGCTGCAATATAAAGGCTTATGGCATGTGGCCTGCTAAACTCGTTTTTTATTTTCTTTAGGTGCTGGAGAAGCAGACACAGAAGGCTGGGTGGTCTCATCTGAGTCCTGTAGCTTCCAGTCCATTGGAGCAAAGTATGTTCACATCATTCTAAAAGAAGCACCCTGTTTGATTTGATTTCTGCTTTTGGTGTAATTAAAATAGGGGAAAGTGTTTTTTTTTTTTTACTTTGGCTTTTGATTATCTATACAATTTCTTTAAAGGGGTTTCCATCCCTAAGCCCACATAGCTACTGCATATTTTATCAGTTTGTTTGTTTGTTTGTGTACAGTTTTCCATTTTTCTGTTGTCAGGTATTATCGTGAAGTACAGCCTGGAGAGATTGTCCAGATCTCTAAAAATGGATTAAAGACCTTGAGTGTTGTCCCGCGACCTGAAGGAGACCCTCCTGCTTTCTGTATATTTGAGTATGTCTACTTTGCAAGGCCAGACTCCATATTTGAAGGCAAGTTCATAATGTTTACAATCGTTCTTATGTTTTAAGTGATAGGTAGGATTGAGATATAACAGTAATATGTGGTAAAAACTACTGTTCAAAAGTTTGGGATCAGAGGACAAATTAAAGGGCAAGTTCACGCATTCTCAACCAGCATTCTATTGTTATAATGCCGGAAGTATATGTAAATGAACAGTGTACTCTTTCTCCATGTTACCTGGACCCAGATCTCCTGATTTATTTGTAAGCTAATGTCCACCATATGACAAAAATGCTTTTGATAAAACAAAATATCCTACTTGCGCATTTTTGTATTCCCGCTCACGGACAGTCAGATTGAGCACAGAGCATTATGGGTTTTGAAGGGTTTTTTAAATCAAATAAATGCAGCCTTGGTGAGCATAAGAGATTTATTTAAAAAACATCCAAAGAAATCATACCTACTCCAACCTTTTAAGCGGTAGTATATAGCACTAGGTGAAATGAGCACTTTTTTTGGTGTAACAGGTCAGATGGTATATACAGTGAGGCAGCGCTGTGGACGGGAGTTGGCCATTGAGGCGCCCACTGATGCTGATGTAGTCAGCACTGTTCCAGAATCAGCCACACCTGCAGCATTAGGATACGCACAGCAAGTGAGTAATGAGGAGCTGTACACATGTTTTAATGCTTTATTGGTTCACCCAGGGACAATATAAAGTTTTACATTCTGTCTCTCTATAAGTCTGGCCTTCCGTATGTAGAGGTGCTGTGTAAGAACCGCTACGTAGGCAGAACGTTCATTCAACCGAACACTCGCCTGCGTCAACTTGGAGTGGCCAAGAAGTTTGGGGCATTGACTGACAACTTTTCTGGCAAACGAGTGGTGCTTGTCGATGATTCCATTGTGAGGGGCAACACCATCTCCCCTATTATTAAACTGCTGAAGGAAGCAGGCGCAACAGAGGTAAAATGTTTTTGAATTAGTACTGCATGTTTGCTGCTGTTTTTTGTTTTTTTTACCGACATAATGTGTTTGTTACATGACACCTTACAGGTCCACATTCGTGTTGCATCACCTCCAATCCGGTTCCCATGCTACATGGGCATCAACATTCCTACCAAAGAGGAGCTAATTGCTAACAAACCAGAGTTTGAAGACATAGCAAGTTATATTGGTAAGTCAGGGTGCAGAGATTTACTTAATTGCTAAGGTTTTGTATACAAGTACACACACTTTCCAATCTCAAATTTCTTTTTTATAATTATGTGCTTTAATTGCTTTGAACAGGTGCTACAAGTGTCCGTTACCTGTCAGTTGAGGGCCTGGTATCTGCTGTTCAAAGTGGGATAGAGTCACATGGGAAAGATGAGAGGATCAGCTCAAGCACTAAGACTACTAGATATGGCCACTGCACAGCCTGTCTCACAGGAAAATACCCTGTGGAGCTAGAGTGGTGAATTTCAGCTCTCTGAACTGTACTTCACATAAATGTTGTTGTTTTGTTTTTTTTTGTATGGAAAAGTGCCGCCTTAACATTTGTAAATGTCATAAAGGTAGGCCAATACTGTATTAGAACTAAAATAAAACATTTATTTTCAATTCTCAAACGCTGACCAAGTTTTGAATTAATGTAAGCTTTAGCAGTCCTGCTTCTTAAAGAAACAGATTATCCTGCTTCTCTGTTGGTCCTCAAGACGGGCACACAATGAAACTCTGTATGTGAAAACCACATATTTGTTTATTAAAAAGTTTGAACAAAACATTTGAATTATTTATAGACCAACATAGCATTTCTCAATGCACATGTAATTGGCTTTATGCCACAGCTTCACTACTTCCTGAACTTCAGCCAGCCCTTTGTTTCCTGTCTGTCATTATTGGACAAACTGATTAATCCAGGTGCGCCTGGCCTCAGTAACAATAATCAGGCACACCTGGATTAATCAGTTTGTCCAATAATGACAGACAGGAAACAAAGGGCTGGCTGAAATTCAGGAAGTAGTGAAGCTGTGCATAAAGCCTATTGGACAATATTATTAAAAAAAAGAAAAAAAAGAAGCTGTTTTCAATTAAAATTGTTAATGAAACAAGGGTCTTTCAAAGTGATAGAAAGATATTTACACAACAACAATATTACAAACAGGGTTTACAATATATATATATTTAAAACAGGACTGTTGAATTTCAAGCAGTGTCTACAATGTGACTTCATGTCATCCCCTGCTTTCTTCACGTTGCTTATCCCACAAGGGGAAATGCAGTTTGTGGGATGCGCACAGTAAGGGTCATCACTGCTGAAGTCCATACTGCAGTCGCCTCCTAGAGAGACTGAAGAAAACATTCTTAATCACTGTTCTCTGATCTTTTTCTCAGAAAACAAAACAAAATCTGCATATTTCAGAAATAACGAAGAAAATGTTGCACAATATTGTAACCATATTGTTATCAGCCAGTACTGAGATTCTTTTAATCTATTTGATGTGTAATTGTACATGCTCATTGCCTTTATTTTAATCTCAAAGCTACTTATTTTTTAAAACACTGATAACATTGTTAGATGAAATATTTATCAAATTCCAAATTTTTTTCTTCAAATTGCACATTATAATGTTGTAATTCCTAAATTGATATTATTTCTTGGATGTGATTGTGCTGGAATTACCTTGGAGAGAGTGGGGCGGTACCCTGATTAAATGGTCTCATAGGTGACACAGCTGCTGAAGCAAAGTAAAGGATGATTTAACGGGTGAACAATTTGTTGTGATATCTATAAGAAAGCCATAATGATGATCAACCATAATGGCCATAATGATGCGGAGCAAGTATTTGTAAGACATGAAAATATGGCTACAAACCCTCCACTGGATGGATATCGCTTGGGGAATCTCTCTGCAAAGGAAGTGGAAAAATCTGTGTTTTACACCATTAATAAATTATAAATATTTTCAGCAGCCATTACTCCAGTTTTCAGTGTCACATGATCCTTCAGAAATCATTACAATATGCTGATGTGGCATTCATGAATAATTTCTTATCAAGGTTGATCATTTAATTTGTTATTTGAAATATTAAAATAAATAAAATTTAGAAATGTTGCCTTGAATGCCAACTAACTGAAATAAAGCTAAATAGACATGTGACATGTCTAAAAATAATATTTAAAAAAAGGTAATTCAAACATAACTTATTAATATATGTGTGTGTAAACAAATTATATAAATAATAGTCACAGCAATAATGCTCTTACCCAAGACAAAGCACGTTGGTTTATTTGCATTCTTAATTTAGCCTCCCTGATTCTTCTGAGGTTTCCAGTGCCTCTGAGGAACTGCGGACTGGGGCACTGCAGCAGGACGGCTCTATCCCAGGTAAGTTTGTCTTTAGTAAGCTCTGACATGGCAGAGTTCACACATCTGCCTGTCAGCTGGAGATGCTTAAGTGGGGAACGACTCTCTCGGAAGCGTTTGAATCTGAGTGACTCTTCCACCTCGGGGTGACGCTGCCGTTTCTTGAGCTTGGCCCTCAGAGGTGTCAATGCGAGAGCAGACATGCTGGAGGAGGAAAAGCTGGGGCTTTGGAATGTCTCCTTCGAGTGTCTCTCACAGAGGTGACAGTGGGAGGAAGGGTACGGTGATGAAGTCCCACGACAGATGAAGTGGTGATACAGCTTTCTGAACTCAGCATCAATCTGCTGTTCATTGAATGAGTATGTGGACTGAGGGCCAGAAAGAGAGCGTTGGCGTTTGGATGGTGTAAAATGGAACGGTTTCTCCGCCTTACATAAACTTCGGTCAGCACGGTCGTAAACGTGCTGTCGGGGTGACGACAACGCCACATGTTTGGCACCATAAGGAGATCTGAGGGCCTCAGTATGGGCTAGATGGTGGACAGGAGATCTTTGCTTTGGACTTGCTGTTGAGTTTAATTGTTTTTCCATGTTCAGCACACTGGGTCTGAAGCTACTTTTCCCCCTAGAAGATAAAACACCAATGAGACCACGCTGCGGGGAGGAGACAGGAGAGTGTAGGCAGTCCCTGAAGCAGTCTTTGTCCAATGAGGAGGGCTGGGAGATAACTGACATTCCTCTCTGGTCAATAATAGACAGACCTGCTTTGCTTTGTCGTGGAGAAGTAAAGACATATGAGGCTGGAACAGCATGAGATGTTGGTCCAACATCATAGGTTTGGTCCAGATTTGGAGATTGGTCACTAAATGAGGGTGAAGCAGAATATGGGGGTGTGGAGAAGTCAATCACACGAGCAGTAATCTGCTCTGGCTTCCTGGTTAAATGCAAATCAGTCCATGGAGACTCATCCGTCACACCGCTCACATCTGCACTGTTCCTCCTGGGCGAGTAAAAACAGGCACTGGCCTGATAGGATGGATTTTTGAGAGGTGAAGACTTTAGTTTGTTCTTGAGCAAGTTTTGAAGTTTGTCACTGCCCTTGAAACAGTTGCTTATGTTTCTTTGAACTGGACTTTGATTGGTAAATGAGATATTTGTTGTTTTGTTTAGAGTGCAGTTGTGTCTGTTCCTAAAGGATGAGTTGTGGTGCGTCGGGCCGGCTGGCCGGTGTTTGCGGCGATACTTCTGCACCACAGCCCTCGCCGTATCGGTCACATGCTGTCGCCGATATGCTTCGCCGATCTGGTTGAGCATGCTGGGATAGACATCCAGGAGGGTACTGCCATGGCTGCTCAGCGTTTTCTCCAGTTCTTCATCCTCCTCCTTAGGCTGAGACAGCTCGTCCCATAGAGAACCATAAGATGTGTTATTCAGACTCATAGAGAGCTGGAATGATCCACCTCCGTGCCCTAGAAGATAATCATTGAGACATGATTTTGATATCAGATAAGAACTACTCTTACATTCATTTATTGAAGAAATAAATAGTGTAGTTTATACTGTAAATATTTTATAGCACAGAAATACTAACTGAAATGTTTACTTTGCACTAAATTGTAGGGTTAAGCCTATTGTGTCTTAAGTGTTATATACTAATTTCTTACACAGGTTTTCGCTGTTCTCCTTTTGACCAGAGCCATTAAGATCATCCCCAGTGACCCCTGACACATCCATCTGAAATAAAAAAAACTTAAAGTTATATCACACCAGACTGCTGGTCTGTGTTCAGATTGTACAAGCTTCAAAAAATGTAGGGGTGTAGTGATACATCGATAAGGATTGATGCATTGATCAAATTACTAACAATATTATGTATTGAAAGACTTTCTTGTCCGTTTTCATTGTTTATCTCATTGCACAAGCCAATGAGGAGCTGTCATCAGATGATTGATGATGCCATGTGCAAATTGATTATTAGAAAACCTAGTGTATTTTTTTTGTGAATGTCCAAATTTGGTTATAGACCACAGTTTGTTCAAGTTATAATTTGGTTGCATTTGTAAAAATTTAACTGGTTGTGTAAAATAGGCACATCATATTGTAATATTATTTATATATAAACCATAGACATCCAAAATCTAAATCCAATCAAATCACAAGTGTATGGCAACAGGTTTTGAGGTACTGGTAGATATAATATCGTTGGAGGGAATCGATTTGTATTGTGATGAAATGCATGATATACATCCCTAATAAAATGATACAACATTTAGCAATAAGAAGCCATTTTTGAGCTTTTATAGAATCTATAATTTTCTAATTACTACCTGATCATTGTCGTGGTCCTCGAACTCTATAAAATACAACATGATGAAACGATTAAACATGAAAATTGAGGATAAATGGCATTATACTATATTTTTTTTTTTTTATCTGTTTCTTACCCCTCGTGGAATAGTCTGCTTTAACTCGAGTCTGAATAATAGAAAAGAAACGTAACGTTATCCTAATGGAACCATGGTTCAAATCTAGAGACATCTGGGCTAAATAATAATAATAAACTCATATTTACGATATCGACTCTTACTTTTAATTCTTCAAACTCACGTTCTCCCTCTGCACTGTCAATGGGCACAGGACCTGTAGATATATTTCACAAACTCAGAAACAAATTTGAAAGTTCAGGTAAAAAGACAACAACATTTGTGATTATAACTTTATAATCATCTAGTGAGGAGAAACAACATCAGTTTTTATTTTCGATATTTTACCTCTTGCAGTCCTGCAGGTCATTGTTTTCAGACAGACGTCTATTCCAGGATCATTTAGACTGGAATACTAGAAAGGACGTAATAAACATGTTATTTTAAGGAAAACGTTGCTTCATATAAGTCGCTACAGATGTTATTAATTTTTTTAAAGACATATGCCAATACATGCAACGTTACTTTATCTTACACATTCGTTTGAATTAACACTAACGTTAACGTTACCTAACTGTTACCTTCTGAAAAATAGCTTCCATCGTGTATCTGAACTCATCGTCATTTCTCTTAAATTGATCTGCATATAAAGGTTTTGCAGACATGTTGCATCAACTAAATGTATTGCAAACTAAATTTATTTGACCAACATAAACTAGTATTTTGCCCCGCCAGTCGCCAGTACTTTCAAATTTCTCGCCGA